AACAGGAAAGAATGGAAAGAAACAGTGAAGAATGGAAAGAAACAGGAAAGAATGGAAGAAACAGGAAAGATTGGAAAGAAACAGGAAAGAATGGAAAGAAACAGAAGAATAAAAAACAGGAAAGGAGGTAAAAAAGAAAGAATAGAAAGAACCATAAAAAAATGGAAAGAACCGGACAGAATTGAAAGAAACAGGAAAGAATGGAAAGAAACAGAAAATAATGGAAACGACAGGAAAGAATGGAGCATCAGGAAGAAAACAGAAAGATATCTAAATTGGAACTTTGAAAAATGGAGTTTGACATAACTACATATAAAAATTGAATTGGACATAATTACATATAAAAATGGAATTTGATATAATTATCTATAAAAATGTCGTTTATCTTGAACGATTAATTTCGATATCCAATCTGGCACTTTTTGAGAATCCGTGTTGGTTACACAATAAAAGTTATCCCTGCAAGGTATGACCACTTCAGGGTAACAAAAGGAATTAGATTAATTCGCAGGGCTTATACATAAGATAGAGATTAATGCTTGATCCTACAGTTCACAAAAGTTCTAACATAAGTATATTTTAAAGCAATATTTTAAAATAAATTTTCCTAGAACAAGTTTTAAACATAAATAGTTTTTTTAATGTCATCTTTTTTATTGTAACATGCATGAAATTTACAAAAAATCAGGGGATGGATAAGGAATGGCGGGGGTTTAAATAATAAAATATGAATTTGTTGAAAAGAGGAACTTTTTCGGGGCTTGGGAACTTTTCATCTGCAAAACATGTTTTGGTTTAAATTCTAAAAGTTTGAAAACTTGAAAAACAAACATATTTATCTATATTTTTATATTTCATTTATCATACACTTAAACATTTTTGTTTACTAATATGCAAACGCAATTTTCTAAGAAATGAAACAGATTATTATAATAATTTATTGAAAGGTATTTCATCTTTTAAATCAAATTTATCAAGGGAAGGGAAACTCTTAGATAATTTCATATCAACTTTGTACAAATCTGTATTTTTAGAAATTCGGAAATGTTCTAAAGTGAAAAAATAAAGTTCAAATCTAGTGCTTCGCTTCATGCTTTATTACTGACAAGGACCTTCTTCTGGTAGGGTTGACCCCCCCCTCCCCCTCCTCCCTCCGTCTGCAAGGATTGTCTCCTTCTCCCTACTCCAGGTTAAAGGATGGTGTGTAGAGTGTTGAAGAGGATACGGAGCAAGTACTGAACCCTGAACCCGGAGAAGGTTGGAACCCTGCCAGTCTCCAGATACCTTAATAAACTAGGGGATAATACATAGGTATACCAGGCCATAGATAGGTAGATAGGTAGATAGATAGATAGATAGATAGATAGATATATAGATAGATAGATAGATAGATAGATAGATAGAAAGACTACTTAGACTTAGTTGAACCACTTTGTTTGTGCGGTCCATATTGCAGAGAAGTGGTTCAACTAAGTCTACTTAGTTCAACTAAGTCTACGTAGTTCAACTACGTCTTGCTTTTCATTAAATCTGGTAACAGTAAAAAAAATACAATTATCTTTGTTCAAACGGGAAAACTACTCAATTTTTCCAACCTATATAAATATACTTTGGGTGTCTGGGTGTCTGTTTGTTTCTCTGTTTATATCCAGTAAACGACGAAACGGCTGAACCATTGAGCCCAATTTTTTGTGGGTCCTGAAATAAATCCAGGGAAGGTTTTTGGATGATCAATACTTAAAAAATTTGCCTCCAACAAAATTGGATTATCATAAAATTTAAAAAATCCACGAAAACACTATTTAAAATATGCGAACTTTTTTGCTATTTTTTATAATATGTTCAAATAGAAAATGTTTACAATTAAAATAAAAGATGGCCGCCTGAAAGCCTAAAATAACATAATTCAATATGGGATGGGAGGGGATGGAAGATTTGCCACAGTGATCCAAAGTTGCCAGCTCACACGTAAAAATCGTTTAATTAGTTTTGCCCAATATTAAAAACTAAAGAATCGTAGCTGTAAAGTTTTAAACTTTCCAGGACTACCCAAAATGTAATTAAGTTATTAAGATAAAATCAAATGCCAAAGCATTGCATTTGTTTTTAAAGTCCACCCCATCTTGGAAATTGATACATCTTTTCAAGCAGTCTGGATCCAAGTTCTGTATTATATACCAGGAGTAGGATAGCCGAGGTTTGGTGAGATTATATTGTAAAAAATATATTCAAATATGTAAGGTGGGTTCAGAGAGGTTGCGAGACTATTATTTGTAAAACTTATATTTAACAATCTTTCAAACCTTTTCTATAAAAAACTGGGGGGAGGGGTTGGAGGTTGGAAGGAATAGGATGGAAAAGAACGTGATGGGAAGGAACAGGATGGGAAGGAACAGGATGGGAAGGAACAGGATGGAAAGGAATAGGATGGAAAGGAACATGATGGGAAGGGACAGGATGGGAAGGGACAGGATGGGAAGGAACAGAATGGAAAGGGATAGTATGGAAAGGGACAGGAACGGAAAGAACAGGATGGAAAGGGACAGTATGGGAAGAGATAGGATGGAAAGGGAAGGATGGAAGGGAACAATATGGAAAGGGACAGTATGGGAAGAGATAGGATGGAAAGGGAAGGATGGAAGGGATCAAGATGGAAAGGGACATGATGGAAGGGAACAGGATGGAAAGGGACAGGATTGGAAGGAACAGGTGGTAAGGAACATGATGGGAAGAAACAGGATGGGAAGGGACAGTATGGAAAGGGACAGGAAGGGAAGGAACAGGATGGGAAGGAACAGGATGGGAAGGAACAGTATGGGAAGGAACAGGATGGGAAGGGACAGGAAGGGAAGGAACAGGATGGGAACAGGATGGGAAGAAACAGTATGGGAAGGACCAGGATGGGAAGGGACAGGAATGGAAGAAACATGATGGAAAGGGAAAGCATGTGAAGGCATAGCATGGAAGGGAAGATGATAGAAAGGAAAAGAAGGGCCGGAGGAACAGGAGGGGAGGGATTAGGATGGCAAGTGATAAAATGGGAAGAAAAAAGATGGAAAGAGACAGGATTGTAAGGAACAGAATGAAAAGAAACAGGATGGAAAGGATGGAAAGGATGGAAAGGAAGAGAATGTGAAGGGCTAGGATAAGAGGGACAGGATTGACAGGGAAGGATGGAAAGGAACAGGATGGAAGGGAACAAGATGGAAAGGGACATGATGGAAGGGAACAGGATGGAAAGGGACAGGATGGGAAGGAACAGGGTGGGAAGGGACAGTAAGGAAAGGAACAGTATGGAAAGGACAGGACGGAAGGGAACAAGATGAAAAGGGACAGGATAGGTAGGGACAAAGTATTACATTATAATTCTTCGGGCTGGGATAAGAAATGGACAGGTTGGGCAAGGAAAGGAAATTAAAGAACATTTGGCTACCTGGAGAGATACAGAACATGAGACACTGCAGTTGTACAGGCAAACAGACACATTTCACTTTATAAGTGATTTAATAATTTACTAGTAAAGATATTTGCTTTGTAACACCATCAAATGCACGTCAGTATTGCCTTAATGACGTCTTCCTATTCCACAGATTTCTGGTTATTACTGTAGTTATATTAATTTAACAATTTATTGAATCGCTAGAAAAAGCAGTTGAACAGCGTGGATTAGGCTAAACCACTTCTACTTCTTTTGTGAGTCTGTTTTGGTTTATCTGTGATTTAAAATTATCGTATGGTTTGGTTGGTAGTTAATTTGTAAGGTTGGTAAGTTATCTTTGTAAGATTTATAGACTTGCTAAGAAGGCAAAACTATCTCTAATTCACAACGATTGATCTCAACAAACAGATCAATGTGACTGCCAGGAAGTTAGTAATTTTTTTCCGTTTATTTTTCCAGGTTATTTTTCAGGTTATTTATCAAGTTATTTTTCA